CCAAAACTGTTTTTTTTTCTGCCGGCATGAATCCCCATAAGGAAACATTCATTATCTATGGTGTCCAGCTCCAACGTTTTCGACTGATCGCTGTGACTAGCGGTATTAGATGTTAAACCTACATGACGTCATCAAAGGCAAGGAGTCGAGACGTCATCTCAACATCATGACGCCATATAACAATTGAACTTGTGCCGTTGAACAAAGCGATCTTAGCGCTAAGGTGATCGTAATCCCCATACCTTAACATAGACTTACTACAGTCATATTGCTAAGGTTGCTTTGTACAACGGCACCCTGATCGTCTGTATCACTGCAAACGTGACGTCATATAGATATGAGAATCTGCAACGGATCTGAGAATACACTACAGTTTGAGTCCCGCCATGGATCTATAAGTCCTACATTTATCACCCAAAACTGGCTCCCTGGATAACGAGTGGTGGAATGTTGGATAATGACAATCAGTGGTGGAATGTTGGATAATGACAATCAGTGGTGGAATGTTGGATAATGATAACGAGTGGTGGAATGTTGGATAATGACAACCAGTGGTGGAATGTTGGATAATGATAACGAGTGGTGGAATGTTGGATAGTGACAACCAGTGGTGGAATGTTGGATAATGACAACGAGTGGTGGAATGTTGGATAATGACAACCAGTGGTGGAATGTTGGATAATGACAACCAGTGGTGGAATGTTGGATAATGACAACCAGTGGTGGAATGTTGGATAATGACAACGAGTGGTGGAATGTTGGATAATGACAACCAGTGGTGGAATGTTGGATAATGACAACCAGTGGTGGAATGTTGGATAATGACGAGTGGTGGAATGTTGGATAATGACAACCAGTGGTGGAATGTTGGATAATGACAAATCAGTGTTGGAATGTTGGATAATGACAACGAGTGTTGGAATGTTGGATAATTACAACCAGTGGTGGAACAGGCGTCAGGTTTATTGGACCAGTATTCTTGCCATCGGTGATATTGTTGTCCGAAATGACCTCAACAGTGGTCAAACGAGCGTTGTCAACGTGACAGTGATGGATGACCGAGCTGGACTGACCACGACCTCAACTGTACATCTGTATAACTTAAACTGCGCTCGATGGTCAAAGATGAGAAGTGGTTGATTACCAAGCGCACAGTTCACCTTCTGGCCTTTTAGGACAATCTGACTCGAGTTGTGGATGTTGTACATAGCTGAAGGAGCACATATCATAACCATGGCGACCCGTGAAGTTCTCCAGCAACCCACACTCTTCGTAAAAGTCGACTAACGGGATCGGGGTGGAGGGGTGGGGGGGGGGTCAGGCTCACTGACTTGATTAATGAATGTTTCCCTATCCCAATTACGTGGATCGATGCTCGTGAATATCAATCACTGGAATGTCTAGTCCAGACTCGATTATTGACAGACCACCGTCATATGGCTGGAATATTGCTGGAATATTGCTGAGTGCGGCGTTAAACAACAAACAAAGGCTGAAGTGATGCACATCACCAAGCCCGCGGGTATGCGAAATCAAGGCGATCATCGCGATCCTCATCTCTGCACAGCGAACTGTTGTAGCGCCATAGACGACCCACACTGCAGTGTTTCCTGTGGGAAGATATATTGTATGAGCGCGCTTTAGATCAGTACTGCACCTCGAACACCAGAAGATTAACGCCGGTTTCGACGCCGTTCCTGAGACTCACAGTCATTGCCTGACTGATCTGTTGTCGCCCCTGGGTTGATGGTGTGCTGGTTGGACTCCGATATGACAGACACGGTATCAGTTGTGGCAGATCGTCGTTGAAGTAAAGCCACAGTCATTTATTTCAGTCATACCCGACGCTTCGTGAGACGACGACATATCACCTCTGACATCAGATGACAGTGACAGTATTAGACTATATGTCTGCATGCAGCAAATGAATTTAATATGTCAGCGTCATATATGGTATTCATGTATGAAAGGTGCAAGATAAAGGTTGGGGAATGTTGTATGTTTCATAGTGAGAATGGATAAATGAGTCTGTATGACAATGTATGTGCAGCACCAAGGCCAGTCTGTATGACAATGTATGTGCAGCACCAAGGCCAGTCTGTATGACAATGTATGTGCAGCACCAAGGCATGTCTGTATGACAATGTATGTGCAGCACCAAGGCCAGTCTGTATGACAATGTATGTGCAGCACCAAGGCAAGTCTGTATGACAATGTATGTGCAGCACCAAGGCATGTCTGTATGACAATGTATTTGCAGCACCAAGGCATGTCTGTATGACAATGTATGTGCAGCACCAAGGCAAGTCTGTAAGACAATGTATGTGCAGCACCAATGCAAGTCTGTATGACAATGTATGTGCAGCACCAAGGCCAGTCTGTATGACAATGTATGTGCAGCACCAAGGCCAGTCTGTATGACAATGTATGTGCAGCACCAAGGCAAGTCTGTATGACAATGTATGTGCAGCACCAAGGCAAGTCTGTATGACAATGTATGTGCAGCACCAAGGCCAGTCTGTATGACAATGTATGTGCAGCACCAAGGCATGTCTCTATGACAATGTATGTGCAGCACCAAGGCCAATCTGTATGACAATGTATGTGCAGCACCAAGGCAAGTCTGTATGACAATGTATGTGCAGCACCAAGGCAAGTCTGTATGACAATGTATGTGCAGCACCAAGGCAAGTCTCTATGACAATGTATGTGCAGCACCAAGGCAAGTCTGTATGACAATGTATGTGCAGCACCAAGGCCAGTCTGTATGACAATGTATTTGCAGCACCAAGGCCAGTCTGTATGACAATGTATGTGCAGCACCAAGGCAAGTCCGTAAGACAATGTATGTGCAGCACCAAGGCATGTCTGTATGACAATGTATGTGCAGCACCAAGGCAAGTCTGTATGACAATGTATGTGCAGCACCAAGGCCAGTCTGTATGACAATGTATTTGCAGCACCAAGGCCAGTCTGTATGACAATGTATGTGCAGCACCAATGCAAGTCTCTATGACAATGTATGTGCAGCACCAAGGCCAATCTGTATGACAATGTATGTGCAGCACCAAGGCAAGTCTGTATGACAATGTATGTGCAGCACCAAGGCAAGTCTGTATGACAATGTATTTGCAGCACCAAGGCCAGTCTGTATGGCAATGTATTTGCAGCACCAAGGCAAGTCTGTATGACAATGTATGTGCAGCACCAAGGCCAGTCTGTATGACAATGTATGTGCAGCACCAAGGCCAATCTGTATGACAATGTATGTGCAGCACCAAGGCAAGTCTGTATGACAATGTATGTGCAGCACCAAGGCATGTCTGTATGACAATGTATGTGCAGCACGAAGGCCAGTCTGTATGACAATGTATGTGCAGCACCAAGGCAAGTCTGTATGACAATGTATGTGCAGCACCAAGGCAAGTCTGTATGACAATGTATGTGCAGCACCAAGGCATGTCTGTATGACAATGTATGTGCAGCACCAAGGCCAATCTGTATGACAATGTATGTGCAGCACCAAGGCAAGTCTGTATGACAATGTATGTGCAGCACCAATAAAAGTCTGTATGACAATGTATGTGCAGCACCAAGGCCAGTGTGTATGACAATGTATGTGCAGCACCAAGGCATGTCTGTATGACAATGTATGTGCAGCACCAAGGCCAGTCTGTATGACAATGTATTTGCAGCACCAAGGCATGTCTGTATGACAATGTATGTGCAGCACCAAGGCCAGTCTGTATGACAATGTATGTGCAGCACCAAGGCAAGTCTGTATGACAATGTATGTGCAGCACGTAAGTAGTCGGCAGACACACTCAGATTACCCTCTGTGTATGAATAACACACCCTGGTCTCCAGGATACATATGTTTTATTGACCTCGGCCGAAGAACTGGGACTTCTGTATACGGCATGTTCCTGTTCTCACCATGGAGGGGCGGATCTTGTCCCAATGTGGACAATATACGAGACATTTCCCCCGTAGAATCAGTGACGTCATTAGTTGGAAGATGCCATTCAGGATGATAATGAACGTGGAGCGTCTGTGCCACATCAGCCCGACACACACGCGATAGGGGCATTACGTCAGGGGAGATGATGACACTAAGTATCTTTAGAATAACACGCACTACGCACTTCATGTGAGGACTGTCCGTACTTACTGCTGCTGGTGCCTAAACCTAAATGAGATGTTGATTCCGAACAAGTATTTTCCCTGTATTTTATCTCAGTGTTTAAACTTATATATTTTTCCTATGCTCTTGCTCTTATGTATGCGTATACTATAACTGTCATTCCGTAAAGACAATGTAAAACTAGTTGTCTCGGACAGAGAATGTTACTTCTGCAGAGAATTGGTGGAAAGTATTAACACATCCCTGTGGTGCAAACATCGCGTATCGGTCTATGTGGGCTATTTCTTAGTCTTCCTTCTATAATTACTACAGTGTGTCAGTTGGCGAGGAACGGCGGCACGGTATAAATTAGTGTTGGTGTAAGGGAGGTAACTCGTCCTGATTTCCTTCTCTATGTCCTCGTCTGCAAATCGTGATTCACACACTGCGAATTGAGACACGGACATATTGACAACTATAAACGTTTTTCATCAAGTGTACACTTGTTAGTTTTCATTTAGTAGGTTCAAGGACCTGTTGAAAATATGTGACATCCACACCAGTGTGACCAGTTCGTTACTCACGTAAATATATTTTTGTTCAGGCTTTTGTATGGAATACTGTAAGAGGCATTCTCGCGATATCGCAATCAGCTTGTTTCTAAAGGTCGAGATCGCGAGAATGTCCCTTACAGTATTCCATACTTTTGACATATAAAATATTAAGTAAGGATAAGAATTTATCGATGAACAACTTCTTTATTACAATTAAGAGCGACGTTGTTATTCCGAACCCCGAAAGAATTTATTCATCCGTAAATTCTTATCCTTACTTAGTACTCCAACTTCTAAATGTCTATCAAAGAAGATATAAAATGTTTTAAAGTAAAGAAAAATGGTATTTTATTAATAGTGTAGTTACAGCTGTCAGCATGTCATGTTCATGCTCGTTATAATCTGGTTCTACTGTATTTGGATCGTCTCTCAATACACTTGTCACTTCGATACAATCGGGGGGCGGTCGGGTAGCCTAGTGGTTAAAGCGTTCGCTCGTCACGCCGAAGACCCGGGTTCGAATCCCGACATGGGTACAATGTGTGAAGCCCATTTCTGGTGTCCCCCGCCGTGATATTGCTGGAATATCGCTAAATGCGGCGTAAACCCATTCACTCACTCACTCACTGTCAAGCCGTATACCATTCAACAGGCTTGTCCTGACCACGGCAATAACCAGTTTGAACAATCTACTTCAAATACATAAATACTAGAATATCCTACGGCAAACAATCTGTTGGTTTTGAGAATATAACGCGGGGTATGTGAGATGGGCAAGGTGCGACCACGAGTGCTGATAGAAATGAAGCATTATCGGGGAAAGTTTTTATCCGAACCCCGATTAGCGGATCCTTGCATGGAAAGGGATACAACTTTGCACGGGGAAAGTCTTTCAAAGTGAGGCTCTGACCTTCCCAGCCAGTCCTCGCACGTGTAAGCAACATTTGTCAAAAACAATGTTTCGAATAACAAGAAAATGTTGTGATCAGTTCATGAGCTTTCATAACATTACAAGAAGTATTCACAGTGCATGTGTTATGTACAAAGTAAAGGTACGAGGGTATAGCCATATATATTGCTTTGTCATAACAGATATGTTTTCAGTAGAAATTATGAGATTGTGTTTGCTGTAATGGTATAAGACTGTGTTCATCTCACCAACGCACATTGCCATAATCCTAACATGAATACATCGAATGCCCTCTTGTCATCACAAACACGATTTATTAAAGAATCATAGATATGAAAAAGACAACAGTTTGTAAACAGTACCCTGTTATGATCAAACTGGTAAGAATTGCATTGAATTTGTATTGTGCATAGTCTTGTGGTACACAGCTTGTATACAGACTGAAGGACAGGTGCCACTGGGGACAGGACATAGAACATGATGCCATAGAGCCATTGAATCCAACATGTTTGACCTTCACTGCAATGAACGTAGACTAAAGTATGCACACTTCAACAAATAAATAAAATGTCAACTCAAAATACGTTCATAAAACATTAACAGGAGAATCTGCGTCAACTCAAAATACGTTCATAAAACATAAACAGGAGAATCCGCGTGAGTAATGTATTTCAAGAAGCATCTTCCCGTTAGGCACCTTTCACTATATATATTTATCCCGAAATCCATTGATTAATTGGTGACACGATGTTTTTTTTGTTTCTTTACGCTCCAGATTGAGCCAAAGTGCTTAATTAAGACACATTTTTAAATGGAAGAAAATGTATAGCGCTATTTCTATATATGTTGTACGTATCTATGTTCTCATCTCCAATTAATACTACCTTAGGTTCAGAAGTATGTCCCTATCACTTCATCCGTTTGGCATCCTTGAGCAAGATTGAGCAGGTTATATATTTGTGCAAAACATAAAAATACAAGTCAATAAAATGGAAAAAGCCATGCTAATCTAACTTTCTAAACATTGCTATCCAATGAATGGATATGACAAACGCTCTGATGTTAGTTCAAAACGGGTGATGACAGTATTTCCAACATGTGCTATGAGGCACCGTAATGCTGTCAGGGTTACTTTGCGTCAGCTCTGCATTCTGAAGCACTTGTTAGTTCATGAGTCGTTGTTAAAAGATACATCCTAGTGAGGAATATGACCTGTCTGGATAAATTTCATGAACTTCAAAATCTCGAACTTGCTAAATTTGAAGTCCTCTTTTAAGATCGTGTCATCCAGTTCCAGTGCCAACTGTCCGTCGACCCCCTGCTCCCTGAAGGCTTTGGCGTGTTTGTCCAATTTCAGTTCCTTCAGTTTTTGAACAATTTCATCGATTGACAGCTTCTCAACGGGTTTGTTCTCCTCCAGATCAGCATATTCTGCGAACTGAGCTTGGCTGACGGCCTTGTCCAGCTTGTACTCCCCCTTGCTTGCCTTTTCAGCTGCAGCTTTTGCCAGCGCACTGAAGGGACTAACGATGGCCCTCCCAATGTCGTTCACGTACTGGTTCGACACGGCGCCTGCGTCTTCGGAATGGCGTCTCACTGTTTTTAGCTCCGATCTCCTTGGTAGCTGAGGAGGTTTGCTGTCTGTCTCCTTTTGTGGCAGGGGTTTTGGGGGTTTGGGAGGTTTCCTGGTGGTCACCCTTGTGACAGGACGGGTGTCTGTGTCTGCCTTCCCTTCCCAGTCGGCGATGATGTAACTGCTGGGTTCGATGTAGTCGTAGATATTGTCGGAGCCCTGAACAGACTGGGGCGAGTACAGTGCGATTTCTGAAGACGAGTAGGAGATATAAGATACGGGCATTATATACCTTGTTACAGTACATTGTCGATGTTAGACAGAAAGTGTGAACAGCATGAATTCTGGTTTCACCCTTATTGCCCCAAATACATGGTCACCGTGTACTCAGTTGCTAAGGCATACATCAGCTGTGCAGTGTCAGACTTTGTACCTACGCCTAGATACTGTTATCTGTGATTATTGATGACAGAGTCATTTAAAAAAATTGTAACTGTCACGTATGTTAAGATATATTGAAGCGCAAAAGAAACGCACTTCATGAAAGCTCCCCATTGAAATATCAATATATTTTTTTGGGTATCTCGTTTTTGAAATTAGTCTGTATCCAAATGTATCCAAATGTAATGTTTACGGCCACAAAGTGCCACAGATAGGGATATATGGATCACCAAAACGCAGATTAACAAACGACCATGGTACAAAGTCCGAATGCTTTCCATGACAATCAAAATGCCAATGCGTGTAATGTCCGTGTGTGAACCATTTACAGATCACAGCAATGATACCAGGTCGGCATCAGCATACAGTCTCCCTCCTGTACATGACGGTGAGAGGGTGTGTTACACTTACCCCTGAGACCCGTGTCAAGGGGGATCTGCACCTCTTGTACATGGTGTTGTGTGGGTGTGTTACACTTACCCTTGAGGCCGGTGTCAAGGGGGATCTGCACCTCTTGTACATGGTGCTGTGTGGGTGTGTTACACTTACCCTTGAGGCCGGTGTCAAGGGGGATCTGCACCTCTTGTACATGGTGTTGTGTGGGTGTGTTACACTTACCCCTGAGACCCGTGTCAAAGGGGATCTGCACCTCTTGTACGTGGTGTTGTGTGGGTGTGTTACACTTACCCCTGAGAACCGTGTCAAAGAGGATCTGCACCTCTTGTACATGGTGTTGTGTGGGTGTGTTACACTTACCCTTGAGGCCGGTGTCAATGGGGGATCTGCAGCTCTTGTACATGGTGTTGTGAGGGTGTGTTACACTTACCCCTGAGACCCGTGTCAAAGGGGATCTGCACCTCTTGTACATGGTGTTGTGTGGGTGTGTGACACTTACCCCTGAGACCCGTGTCAAAGGGGATCTGCACCTCTTGTACATGGTGTCGTGTGGGTGTGTTACACTTACCCCTGAGACCCGTGTCAAAGGGGATCTGCACCTCTTGTACATGGTGTTGTGTGGGTGTGTTACACTTACCCTTGAGACCCGTGTCAAGGGGGATCTGCACCTCTTGTACATGGTGTTGTGTGGGTGTGTTACACTTACCCCTGAGACCCGTGTCAAAGGGGATCTGCACCTCTTGTACATGGTGTTGTGTGGGTGTGTTACACTTACCCTTGAGGCCGGTGTCAAGGGGGATCTGCACCTCTTGTACATGGTGTTGTGTGGGTGTGTTACACTTACCCCTGGGACCCGTTTCAAAGGGGATCTGCACCTCTTGTACATGGTGTTGTGTGGGTGTGTTACACTTACCCCTGAGACCCGTGTCAAGGGGGATCTGCACCCTCTTGTACATGGTGTTGATGTCGGTAACATAGGCCTCCCACTCTTCCTGTGACTTTCCCTGTATCCCCGTGACGGACGCCACCATGATGTCACCCATGTAGAGCGGTATAAGTAGGGGGATGGCATCTGGTTTGCCTAGATAACAGACTCACACAATCACCATGACAGCAGGGAGTGTGAGATCATGAATGTATCTCAAGTCAACAATATGTGTTTCAGGTGATTCGGGGGAGCAGGGTGACTATTCAAAACTTCTGTAGGAAGTGACTAGAGGGAGAAGGTGACAACATCTGTGTATGAAGTGACTAGATGGACTGAGTGACAAAACCTGTGCGTCACGTAAATAGAGGTGGTGGGTGACAACACATGTGTGTGAAATGACTAGAGAGGATGGGTGACAACATCTGTGTATGAAGTGACTAGATGGGGTGAGTGACAACACCTGTGTATGAAGTGACTAGATGGGGTGGGTGACAACACCTCTGTGTGAAGTGACTATAGAGGGTGGGTGAAAACATCTGTGTATGAAGTGACTAGATGGGGTGGGTGACAATACCTCTGTGTGAAGTGACTATAGGGGGTGGGTGACAACATCTGTGTATGTAGTGACTAGAGGGGATGGGTGACAACACCTGTGTGTGAGGTGACTATAGGGGGTGGGTGACAACACCTGTGTATGTAGTGACTAGATGGGGTGAGTGACAACATCTGTGTATGTAGTGACTAGATGGGGTGAGTGACAACACCTGTGTGTGAGGTGACTAGAGGGGATGGGTGACAACATCTGTGTATGTAGTGACTAGATGGTGTGAGTGACAACATCTGTGTGTGAAGTGACTAGAGGGGGTGGGTGACAACACCTGTGTATGAAGTGACTAGATGGGGTGGGTGACAACACCTCTGTGGGAAGTGACTATAGGGGGTGGGTGACAACATCTGTGTATGAAGTGACTAGAGGGGGTGGGTGACAACACCTGTGTGTGAAGTGACTTTAGGGGTGGGTGACAACACCTGTGTATGTAGTGACTAGATGGGGTGAGTGACAACACCTGTGTGTGAGGTGACTAGAGGGGGTGGGTGACAACACCTGTGTGTGAGGTGACTATAGGGGGTGGGTGACAACACCTGTGTGTGAAGTGACTAGAGGGGGTGAGTGACAACACCTGTGTGTGAAGTGACTAGAGGGGGTGGGTGACAACACCTGTGTGTGAGGTGACTATAGGGGGTGGGTGACAACATCTGTGTATGTAGTGACTAGATGGGGTGAGTGACAACACCTGTGTGTGAAGTGACTAGAGGGGGTGGGTGACAACACCTGTGTGTGAGGTGACTATAGGGGGTGGGTGACAACACCTGTGTGTGAAGTGACTAGAGGGGGTGAGTGACAACACCTGTGTGTGAAGTGACTAGAGGGGGTGGGTGACAACACCTGTGTATGTAGTGACTAGATGGGGTGAGTGACAACACCTGTGTGTGAGGTGACTATAGGGGGTGGGTGACAACACCTGTGTATGTAGTGACTAGATGGGGTGAGTGACAACACCTGTGTGTGAGGTGACTATAGGGGGTGGGTGACAACATCTGTGTATGTAGTGACTAGATGGGGTGAGTGACAACATCTGTGTGTGAAGTGGCTAGAGGGGGTGGGTGACAACACCTCTGTGTGAAGTGACTATAGGGGGTGGGTGACAACATCTGTGTTTGAAATTACTAAATGGGGTGGGTGACAAGATTTGTGTGTGAGGTGACTATAGGGGGTGGGTGACAACCTCTGTGTTTGAAATTACAAGAAGGGGTGGGTGACAAGATCTGTGTGTGAGGTGACTATAGGGGGTGGGTGACAACATATATGTGTGTAGTGACTATAGGGGGTGGGTGACAACATCTGTGTGTGAAATGACTAGATGGGGTGAGTGACAACACCTGTGTGTGAGGTGACTATAGGGGGTGGGTGACAACATCTGTGTATGAAGTTACTAGAGGGGATGGATGACAACATATATGTGTGTAGTGACTAGAGGGGGTGGGTGACAACATCTGTGTGTGAAGTTACTATAGGGGATGGGTGACAACACCTGTGTGTGAGGTGACTAGAGGGGGTGAGTGACAAGATCTGTGTGTGAAGTTACTATAGGGGATGGGTGACAACACCTGTGTGTGAAGTGACTAGATGGGGTGGGTGACAACATATATGTGTGAGGTGACTTGATGGGGTGAGTGACAACACCTGTGTGTGAAAAGACTAGAGGGGGTGGGTGACAAGATCTGTGTATGAAGTGACTAGAGGGGGTGGGTGACAAGATCTGTGTGTGAAGTTACTAGAGGGGGTAGGTGACAAATCCTCTGTGTGGGGTGACTAGAGGGGGTGGGTGACAACATCTGTGTGTGAAATGACTAGATGGGGTGAGTGACAACACCTGTGTGTGAGGTGACTATAGGGGGTGGGTGACAACATCTGTGTATGAAGTTACTAGAGGGGATGGATGACAACATATATGTGTGTAGTGACTAGAGGGGGTGGGTGACAACATCTGTGTGTGAAGTTACTATAGGGGATGGGTGACAACACCTGTGTGTGAGGTGTCTAGAGGGGGTGAGTGACAAGATCTGTGTGTGAAGTTACTATAGGGGATGGGTGACAACACCTGTGTGTGAGGTGACTAGAGGGGGTGGGTGACAAGATCTGTGTGTGAAGTTACTATAGGGGATGGGTGACAACACCTGTGTGTGAGGTGACTAGAGGGGGTGGGTGACAAGATCTGTGTGTGAAGTTACTATAGGGGGTGGGTGACAACACCTGTGTGTGAAGTGACTAGATGGGGTGGGTGACAACATATATGTGTGAGGTGACTTGATGGGGTGAGTGACAACACCTGTGTGTGAAATGACTAGAGGGGGTGGGTGACAAGATCTGTGTATGAAGTGACTAGAGGGGGTGGGTGACAAGATCTGTGTGTGAAGTTACTAGAGGGGGTAGGTGACAAATCCTGTGTGTGGGGTGACTAGAGGGGGTGGGTGACAACATGTATGTATGTAGTGACTAGAGGGGATGGGTGACAAGATCTGTGTGTGAAGTTACTATAGGGGAGTGGTGACGACATCTGTGTATGTAGTGACTAGAGGGGATGGGTGACAAGATCTGTGTGTGAAGTTACTATAGGGGAGTGGTGACGACATCTGTGTGTGTAGTGACTAGAGGGGATGGGTGACAACATCTGTGTGTGAAGTTACTATAGGGGAGTGGTGACGACATCTGTGTGTGTAGTGACTAGAGGGGATGGGTGACAACATATATGTGTGAAGTGACTAGATGGGGTGGGTGACAACATCTCTGTGTGATGACTAAAGGGGAAGGGTGACAAATCCTGTGTGTGAGGTGACTATAGGGGGTGGGTGACAACATCTGTGTGTGTGAAGTGACTAGTGGGGGTGGGTGACAAATCCCGTGTGTGAAGTGACTAAAGGTGATCATTGTGCTGAGATGGTAGAAACTCAAATCGTAGGGCTAAGATCGCGTTGTGGAGCAGGGCCCTTGTTGTTTGTTTTCCACAAGTTAACATTCTAACCCCAGATTAGCAAGTACGTACGTACCATGAAGAATGGCGTTGGCCAGGAAGTACGTCTCCTCGTATACGTCAGTGATGGTGAGTTGTCCCATCGTCTGGACGTTCTGCTGGCTGTTGTTGAGTGTGAAGCACACGTTCCTTGGGTCCGAGATCTGGACTGTGACGGGCAGAGGCTTCCTGCTGAGGATGTTCGCCAGTATATCCTCTTCCTTGCCAACTGACAGGCACAGTGATTATTAGCGAACATCCCATATCGTATATCATTTATAACGGATTATACAAATTGTAATATTCGAGCCGGTACACGCAGAGTTGGGCATTTAGGCGTGTGGTGGCATTGTTCACCGGCTGTGAAGGGATGCCCAGAGATGGAAATGTGAATGTACAACCATCTAGCGTCAGTTCGGCGGCTTGGGTTGTATAGTCCACAGGGAGCTGAGAATTCCATACGATTATGATATTAATAATGGTTCGCGTTATAACATGCATTGTAGTAAATATAACACTATAAACCGCCTGCCTTTTCTGGTTTACTTAATTAAAACAATGCAGCAGTATATTTTCTCTAAACCATTGCATGCCCTGTTCCATACACACAGGCACACACTACATCCCCCAGAGCATCAACTAACCTTCCCTTCTTTAACGAAAGTCCTCTGCATAGTTTAGAACCGAACATTTACAGTTTGTATTCACTACTTCAAATTAATAGGAAGAGTACCTCCACAACTTACCTCGAGATAGCATGTCATGATATAGATTTACACACAGATGATAGTCAGCCAATATTCACGTTTGCGACGCATCGCGTGTTTAACATTCATAGGAGACAGTGGCTTTAGAATAGTTTTTGAACATGCTATTTGTAAAGTCTAGATCTAGCGTACGATGGCTTAGCTGATCCTGATTGCAGACTACACCGTGTATACAGATATGCTACGATAGCCGGTGAATGCCCCGTGGTTGAACACACGTGAAAGCCCTTTGTGCTGACTTTGTGAAATGCACCCAACTCCCGAAGAGAGCAAGGTCATGGACGTGTACTCGAGTCTAGTCCGTGGGTAGAGGGAGAGTAGCGTACCCACATGGAGGGAAGTGTTGGGTGGGTTGTAATTTACAATTTGCGAGATGGTCACACTGTCATTACATACTTCACTGTTAAAACACTGAGAAATGCTAACTAAAGGCTTTCAAACAATTCAAAACTTTCAAATCGACCGCCTCGTGTATGCGCATGCTAACATGACTTTCATTGATTCATATTGTGGGTTACACAGTTCGTTACAACATTCATTGATTCATAACGTGGTTTACACAGTATACCACGACGTTCACTGATCGAGTGGGTTACACGGTGTCTAGAGTACCATATACAGAGGCTCTGT